CTGCTTCAGTCCGGGTCTCCCAGCTCCCTCCAACACGACTGTGGCGCTATGAAGCCAGAAACATGTGTTTAGAATTAGACGTTAGAGAGTCAAGGAGATTTTCAGATCAGGCATTTGCTTTTCATATGATTGCATAGTTAACGTGCTTGATTGAGATTGTCTTGACTAGTATGTGTGTGTGTATGTGTGTGTGTATGTGTGTCTGCCTGGCCAGACACTGGCAGGATTTATTTTAAACTTCTCATTAAAAATTCTCTTAATTACTCTCCAGCCATAACTTGGACGCCCTGTGCTTGTCTTCATGAGACAGCAAGTGTCTGTTGTATAAGCGTTACTAAGCTGCCGTCAGTCCTGTGAAAATTTCATTATCATAAAATAATCTCTGAGCTGTTTCTCTTGTGGGATTTGTTCCCTATGAAGGAGAAAGGTGCCACTTAACGCTGGCGGCTGGTCCTGGTGTGGATTAGAGCTACTGTACTGTGAAATATACTGTAAGGGAAAGGGGCCCAATGACATGCACTGATCTGTGTGTGTGTGTGTGTGTGTGTGTGTGTGTGTGTTTGTGTGTGGATTAAATTTATATTACGTCGTGGGGACCAAATGTTCCCTACAAGGTAATAAAAACCTGTTATTTTGACATCGTGGGGACCATTTTTCAGGTCCCCACAAAGATATGTGAATGCAATTAAAAAAATAAAAATGTACTTAGTTTGGTTACTTATGGATAAGGTTAGGGCTGGGCGGGGGTTAAGGTTGTCATGTTTTCCCCATAGAAATGAATGGAGAGTCCCTACAAAGATATAATTTCAAACCTGTGTGTGTGTGTGTGTGTGTTTCTTTTGCCAGTGGACTGAAAGAATTAGCTTGATTATCCTGAACTCTGCGTAGTCGCCACCCTCTAGTGTCATTAGATGCATTTGCTTTTTGGCTGATCTTCCACATAAATCATCCTACATGGTTGTAATGCGCCAGCGAAATACGGAGCCAGGCAGACACACGCCCATGTTAAACACTCTGTCTTTCAGTTTGTGATTCCTCGCTCCATCCATAAGGATCCTGGAGCCTGATAATAAACAAGTTTAATTCCAGAGGTGGATAGTCCAGGTCCAGAAAGTGAAAATCCAGACCAAGATTTTATTTCAACCAACCAGTTGATTTTAAAAAGTCACAGTGACAGAATTCTCAGCTGGTTGGTTGAAACAAAATCATGGTATGGATTTTCACTTTCTGGACCTGAACTATGCAACTGTTTAATTGTTCTGTTTTTAGCTGACAGCAATGCAAAGAGCAGTATTGCCTTGGGGGTAGATTTCCAGTAGGTCTGTTTATCATTCTTTACGACGCTTGTGAGGTTACTTTTTCTTTCTGAATTCACATTCACCTTTGACATACTTGGCAGATTGAATCATCAGCCTGCAGGCGTGTCCAGCCCATTAGTGCCCTAAAAATGACAGGACAGGAAGTGAAGCGCTTCTCGTCGGATTACGTTTCTGTGTGATCTGCTTAGTCATCACTGGCTCTCGCAAAACCGTCCTTCATTGTACAGCAGAAAGATTAGCAATTGGCGGTGCTTGTTGAACGCTACATCACACCATCTCTCATGTTATCATGTTGTGCTTTCGGTGTCTGGGCAATCCATCTACTGGATGATCCATTTCCTGTGTGTGCTATAGTTCGCACGTGTGACAGAGTCCCCCCCCCCCCCCCCCCCCCCGCAGTATTTTAGAAGGTTGTAAAAACTGTATGAGTCTGGTACCAGTAGGTGGCCTGATAGCGTGCAGCAGTACACCCGAATCACCAGCAGATGGCGCCTGTATGCCTGACAGATTTGCTTTCAAGACTACCTATGAAATGGGCCTGGCAGTTAGGGCGGGAGCAGAGGATTGAATTGGTGGTAAGAGACAGCAGGTGGCAGAGACAGTACCGCCAGTCAGAGTGGTTTAAATAAAAAAAAAAACAACCCTTCTTACTTTTCATATCAGGACCAATCTGTCAGGAAACGTCAAGACAGACAAGGGAAAACAGATCCGTCCTAAATCCTTACAGCTTAGCCACATATGCTACACAGGAGGTAATTCGGCAGGATTCCATCATAACACACTTGCATTTCCTGGCTGACATGCCCTGGATGAGCCAGATGTTAACATCCCTACTGCTGGATCCCCGTTACCCAGGTAACGGCTACACCGAGGCCGGCGCAGGAATGTGGGAGGGCAGTCACCCGTCATGCTGACCGTGGAATCGGGCCAGACCCTGGTTGGACGACGTGAGTCATGTCGTGCAGGACAGTAATCTCAAAGCTGCCTGTAAAATTCTGACCCTTTTTCATGTTTGACAATGCAGGCTTAGAACTTCAGAAGAAGGGGAGGGGGTGTGTTCAGTGTGATAGGCTGGAATCATTCAGCGCTGCACATGCTGCTACTTGCCCGCTCCTTTCAGAGGGATGACAGGAATCTTTATTTAGAAATAAATACATAAACACAGAGAATATAAGAACGAGCATATAATAAAAGGTTTGACACAGGCCTCAATAAAACACATGTGAAGACAGGAAGATGGCGGATGGAGATTAATGAGTCGTGTCCGGGAAATGGAGCGAACGTGAGCCGGTGTTCCGGCTTAGTTTGGACTCCAGGTTCAGTTCTCCTGATATGGATTTAGAGAATCCAGTAGTTGTGCTTGGCTTGTGTCAGCTCTAGCCCCCGAGGGTTCCCCCGGTGAGCCCCGGGCCACCGGCGTTGTCCCCAGGGCACCGACCCAGATTGTGTGCTAACGGGCGAGCGGCCAGACAGGCCATCGGTGTAATTAAATTAGACCTTCACAAGAAGAGGCTGCTTTTTTGTTTTTTGTTTTTTTTTTTTTAAACTTCACAGCTGTCGCCGAGGTGACAGTATTGTGACATCACAGTACCCCTGGGCTGTTTGTGGCGGTCAGCCAGTGAGGACGCTGCACTGATGCCGGTTTATAAGGGCTGTTTGCTGGCGTGTGGCTGGGGGGGGGAGCGGAGGTTTGTGTGGTTTTGCGTGTGTGTGTGTGTGTGTGTGAGGCCACTTCCTGTCTTTGTGTGTCTGTATTGGCTTTGGGGGTGGGGTCAGGCGGGGGTGGGGAGGGCATGTGTCAGCTCAGCTGTGAGCTCTTTGTGCTCGCCGACGCGTCCCAGCAGACCACAGCATTCCTCGCCGGCGGGAAGCGAAACCTGAGCCTGTCTGGGAGCGGCGCGCTAACGGGCCCGGAACGCACACGGCCCTGCCAGTGTTTATCCTCTCCAGGC